CTAAACGATCAAACCTCTTAGAGTACTATCTTTCTAAAGCTACTCTCCACACATTGGCTATTTGAAAAGGACTCATCACATTAAATTCACAATCGTTTGGTGTTTTATTTCTAGGGCACATATTAAATCTTTTTTCATAACTAGATTCTCATCGAGATGTATAATAGTATTGTATAACACAGTTATATTACAAAATTCTAGATCTAATGAATTTGTTGAACTCACATTTTCTAATAATGTATAGTTTTAGCATAGATTGATGATAAAATGAAAAGGTAGAAGAAAAAAAAAAGAAAAAAAGATAAAATTAAATTTGATAAAATACGATTGCTATTAAAATTTTAAGGGCTCAGTGTGAATGTAAATAGGGGAAGAATCTACCATCATAACAAGACAATGGACACATTAAAAAGGAGATCTTGGTTGCCTTAAAGCCCTTAATACCAAAATCACACATATCACAAAACATGGCTGTAGTAAGGCCATATAGAAGCTTTTTTCTCCACCACTCAGTCGATGCATATATTGTTTTCTTAATAGGATCTCAATCTTATTTAGTTGCCCCTCGCTTTAATTCTTTATACAATTTTTACTCTTTTTTTAATTGATCTCATTTGTTCTTCAACTGAGTTTTATCATACACTCATTCTATTATTTTGTAGAAATTTTTTTTTATTTTTTGCTAGCCTTCTTTATTGAAATATATCATGGTTCTTTTGTCTAGTTCAAACTCCTTTAAGAATAAAACACATAAAATAATCTTCACATCCCTCTCACAAATGGTCGATTTACAACATTCCTTTTGTTTTCCCATTTTGTGAGCTACAACAAATTTACATGATGTTAAAAAAAGAATAACAGTAAAAGGGTAAGATAAAATGTTGAAATTTGTTTCAAATGAAGATTATATGTCAGATACAATTTAGATCATGTATATGTAATACCTAGAAACATACCTTAAGTGAAATAGCCATGAGGAAGAACATATTTTGGTGTCATGTATAAATGAAATGGACTTAAGGAAGTGAAATAGGCAAGAAAAATTGAAATATATATGCAAAAGCATAAGAAATGAGTTGTATGCATGTAAACCATCCAAATATATGTTAAAACACCACCCATCCAACTAAAGCCTTCAAATTTAACCAAACCCCAAGCAATTCCACCGAATCTATAGCAAGAACACACTATTTTGAACAAAAGCGCACAGTTCTTATGTATTCACATATGTAGCACACAATTTTTATGTATTCACATATCTTTAATATCACAATGCCCAACACTTATGAACTTACATACATAGCCCACAATAACACCAAAGTTCATCTATACACACATACCACTGAAATCTTTAATATCACACCTAATATTTTTTTATTTATGATATGGGATGTCAACCGTATAAGCAAGTATAAGTGAAATTACATATTTTTATGCATATGTTGGGCTCATGTATGTAGAAATTGAGGTTTAGATGTTAGATATGTAAATGCATAAGAATTTAGTCATATGTAAGTAAAACTTCCAAATTTATGTTAAATACCACACATCCATTTAAATCCTACAGCTTTAACCAAGACCAGTGCAATCTCACCAAAGTCATAGCAAGCCCACAATATTTCAAAACCAAAGAACACAATTCTTATGTACTTACATACATAGCACACAATTATTATGTATTCATATATCCTTAATATCATAACACATCTAAATTTACATTTTTATGCACATACCACTGAAATTTTTAATATCACACCTAATATTTCTGATTTTTTATATGGGATGTAACCCCTAGAATCAAGTATAAGTTAAATTTTCATTAGTGAAAGAGACATTTTTATGCATATGCAAGATGTCATGTATATAGAAAGTAAAGTTTAGGTATTATATATGGAAATGCATGAGAATTGAAACTTATTAAAGTAAATCTTCCAAATAGATGTTAAAATACAACCACTCATTCATCTAAAGCCTACAACTTTAACAAAACTAGAGCAATCTCATTGTACACGCAATCCTTATGTATTTACAAAGCTCACACGTAAATTTTCATCGTTACAAGCATATCACTGAAATCTTAGTATCACACATATTCTGGAGCATGGAATGCACTCAATGCCTAAAAATTTAATCAAAAACAAAACATAGGAGCCCCCAAAATTTTGAAACAAAAACTCAATCCAAGAATATCAAGTACATAGCATGTAATGCACCTGGTACAAAAAAGAAAAAAGAATTCCATGCACAAAGCTGAACGTATTCTAAAAATCTGACGACGGGGAAAAAAGGAAGATATTCTGAAAGCACAAAAGATTAAAGTGTATAAGAATCATAGAGATGCATAATGAAGAATCGAAGACAACATTAGAGACATAAAAGAGTTTGTGTCTATACAGAGATCCTAACAACGATAGAAAAACAAAACACTAAACAATGGAGTAGACTAAAAACAGAGAATGTTATATCAGGGATGCTACAAGTAATTCCTTGATTTTACCCTGGATAGTGAAGATTTTTTTTTTAAGTTGCAAAGCGGACCATGAAACTGAACTCCTCCATGCCATTCGCCAAACATCATTTTGGCAACACAATTTTTTGAAAGTTGCAAAAAATTTGCTCCCCAAACAACCCATAAGGTGCTTTACAAAACGAAAAGCACCTAAAAGCTATACCAAATAGGGCATAAGTCAAGATTAATCTCTAGCAATTTTTAAATGGATTAACGTTATTATAAGTAAAAAGTTTTGAAATTGGCGATAGTTGACTTTTGGGTCCCATAATTCAAATAAGGTTGACTTGATCAAGCATAATTGATTTAGACTCCCTAACCTCAAAGAAAAGCTAAGGGGAAATTTTAAGGTCATTAGGCAAGACCTTTGGTACATTAAGACTAATTTTAAATTGACCAGATTTAAGGGTTCTATAAAGTTCATATAGCCTAAACCTAGTCAAACTTCAATTGAATTTGAGTTCCATGGGTTCTAATATGATCTTATTATTGAACTAATAACTACATTGAATGAGTTAGAGCTCAATTAAAGCTCATTTGAAATAGAAGGGGGGAGGGTCAAAATCAACCAACCACTAACATTGAGAAAGCCACCTAAAGGATACTGTGAAAGAATTCTAAGTCTAGAAAATAAGTCTGAGGGTTTGATTAGATCTTTTCACATAAAAAATGAAGTGAACAATGCAAAAAAAAAAAATTCCACCTATAACTATCTTTTTCTCTTCTTTTTGTATTACTTTTCTTCTATCCAATATTCTTTTTCTTTTGTCTTCATTAATATTATTATTATAACAAACTCAATTTATCTTCTCACACACGTTATTAAGAGAAACTTTACTACTTTCTATTTATGACAAATTAATACATTTTATTGTGTAATAATTGTGTTAGATAAGATTAGTGTTTACTTTATTTAATATCAAGCATTTTATTTTGGGTCTTAGGATGTGATAAATTTGGTGAAAATTTTAAATTTAGTTTATAATTTTATTGAAATAATCATTAGCCTAGATTGATTTTGCAGTACCCTACTTATTAGTTTTGCTTAATGGCTTTCAAAAATGTAATTTAAGGCTCACCATGATTAATTTTTAGCTGCATTATGCCCTATATTATTGTTTGTTTGACTCTTTTTATAGATTTAGATTTTAATTTAGATATGATACCATATAAAAAAATCCTCCTTAGTTAGGAGTGTTATCATTTACACTTGTATTAAATTTTTGAATACTTCTCTATTAGCCATATATCTAATACTCAGTTATGATTATACAAGTAAATATATTTTACTTAGCATTCTTTATGAAAAGATAATGTGGTGTAAATAATTTATTTTGATTTATTAATGCATAATTTATTTAAAATTTAAAGAATCTCTACAATAACCAAATACAATTTTATGCATATTTGAATATAGCAAATCTTTCATGAAACTCTTTTTTTTAATCATAAAACTAATCTTGATCATACTTGTTATAAATTGCAAGTTAAAAACTTTTCTGTAATGTATAGAATGTGTATGACTACAACTGATGCATACTACAATCTTGAGTAAGATCATACAAAAATTCATCTTAAACATGCACATTTTTTATTTATGAAATATGATTAACAAAATGATACAATGGCAATTATTAAATTTTTCACGAAGTAATAAACATTTCTTTATATTTTCATGTTATATGCCACAATGTTGTGTTATTTATATTTTAACCAATTTAAGTTATCTATTAGGTTTTTATTATTATACTCAATCAATATTTTTTTTTCTCACTAAAGCCTCTATAAACTCACTTGTATTTAAATCTTTTCTTTTATAAATCTTAAATAGGTGTGACAATAAATTGATCTAAAGATAAATTCATGATGTTGATATAATGAGTGCATGCCACTCAGTGATGTCCAAATAAGTAAAAAGTACTTTACAAAGATCTTGATAAAACTTCATCAATTAGGTTATTGTCACCTCCAAAACACTACAATTGGAGTTCAAAGAATATAGTGGAGCCTTTTCTCCATAATCTCCAAAGAGAATTCTACATCAGCTCTCTTTAACATTATTTTTCCTTGTTGAAAGAAGTGATGCATGGCATAGAGAGGTCCGAGCTCAAGGAAAAAAAAAATTTTGTAAGATAAACTGCACATCCGAACAACAGTGAAAATCCGGCCACATGACAATACATTTCACATCATGAAAATCTTGTGATTGTCTGAAAATGCTAACAACACACAAAGTAAATACTTGAGCTCAAGGTCCTATCCCCCTTCTCGGAGCTAGGAGTGTCTATTTCTCCTATAAAAATGATTTCTCCTAAGCAACCAATCCTGTATCTACTAGAGCCACATTAGCTCTTAATTTACTTCATATTTTGCCCCCAAATCATTTTCAAAAAGTCCATTTGATTTATTTGGATGAAATATATACAGATAATGGAATTGACAAGTTTGCATGAGAGAGAGAGAGAGAATAAAGAGGAGGAAAGAGTAAACGGCAAAGGTAATGGGTGCTGAGAAGGAGCAAGTCCTTTTCTATGCTTTCCACTCAGCAAGATGTTAAAGGCGAAAGTATCAAATAACGCTCCTCTCTCAAGGCCACAAAGAAAACTTGTGGCTGAGAATTCGCTCCCCTTGCTGACGTAGGAATCCCAGTCTTTACCTTTCCTGTTTAACCATGAACTAAGCAGGCATGAAACAAAGCAGCAGTGAGCGCAAAGAAACAAGGAATCAAAGAGCAAGGAGGGATACAGAGTCTTCCTCCCTTCGTAGAAAACAAGGTAAATGTTATAAGAAATTGGAGAGGAAGAGATGATAACAGAGAAATAAGGCAAACAGAGAGAAGCAGGGGAGATGGGGGAGAGCATGGATTCGGTGATCAAGCTTTTTGGGAAGACAATTCATCTGACGGCGATAAGTGAAGTTCTGGCTGCCGCCGGAGAAGAAAGCGGTGGATATGAGAGGAAGGTAAATGATGAGGGTTAGTTTTGAGGGTTTCAAGTGAAAAAAATGGATTTTTTACGTGTTAGATATGGGTCCCCCGTGCTATTATTATATTTTTCAGTATAAGTGCAATCTGTGTTTGTTTTTATAAATTTCTGATTTTGGTTGTCTGAATTTTTCATTCTTTATTCACTGATTGTTGGCCAATTATTAAACAAAGGATTATCTAAGATTGAAACGCTTTAACCAATTATTAAAAATTTCAACTTTTTTGTCTTTTGTTATATGATTTCTCATTTCAGATTGTTTCGTCAACAAGGTAAACAATACGGATTTGCTATTTCGATTTCATATTATTACAAAGTGAAGAACATGGGAGGCTCTCTACTTTTAATTCATAATTCAACAATTAACGATCAGTCGGCGTTCAATCCCATGTAGTTGACATGAATTTCTGTCTTTCGGCTCTGTGTATAAATTCCAGTACAGATATTAAATCCTCTCAAAAACTCAATTTTTTTAGAGAAATGCAGGGATTTTTCTTCATACGACCACAAAACTCTCTCTTTTTGAGTGTTTTCTCTTTTGCAGCTTCGGGATCCCTTATACAAGCTTTACAATCCTGAACCCACACAACAAAACGAAGAAACACGAATTCATCAAGAAGAAGCAAGGATTGATGAGCTAAACACTTCAGAGTCTATGGAAGAGAAGCACGAAGATCAGCAGAACCAGAACAGCAACAGCACAATAGATAAAACACTTAAAAAACCAGATAAAATCCTCCCCTGTCCCCGCTGCAGAAGCATGGACACCAAATTCTGCTACTTCAACAACTACAACGTTAACCAACCCCGACACTTCTGCAAAAACTGTCAGAGATATTGGACTGATGGAGGGAGCATGAGGAACGTTCCTGTCGGCGCCGGTCGCCGGAAAAGCAAGAGCTCCACCGCCAGCCACCACTACCACTACCATCACATCACTATCCCTGATGATGTTCAACCAATAAATCACTCAAGTCCTCTGAAACTCAATGGAACAGTACTCAGCTTCGGCTCCATGAATTCCAATGGTGAGGATAAGTTGTGCAGATCAATGGTGACTACCTTGAACTCAAATGATGAGGGAAACAAAGCATTAAATTCAAATTTCCAAGCTTTTCCTCATTTAAATGGGAATCATTGGTCTAATCCATGGAGTCATACTCCTTTCTACCCGGAGACTCCATTTTTGGCCATGCAATTGAGATGCTCCGGCCTGAATTCTTCAGTGTTAGGCAAGCGATCTAGAGAAGGAAACACGTTGAATCATGGCAAATCAGGCATGGAGGACAAATCTGATAAATGTCTCTGGATTCCGATTGAAGGCCATGAAAAAGCTGCAAAACGTTCAGTATTGGTGAAAATGGGATTCGAGAAGGATGAAGCCAATGGAGTCGTGAAGAAGAGGTCAGCGGAGGCTTCACAGGTGTTGTGCGCAAACCCTGCTGCGCTTTCTCGGTCTCTCAGCTTCCACGAGAGGTCATAGTCAGCTTTCTACAACTCTGCTCATGCAGTAAACAATTTTCTAACAGATTGGTAGGCTCAGATTTTGTAGAAATTGAGCTTAATTTATAAGTTGATGCTTCATTGTGTGTGAATATTTGTGTGTGAGAAAATAAGAAACCATCAGAGCGCTTGAATGAAGATTGTGCCTGAATAGTAATAAATACTGTATTATTTTTATTTGGATAAATAGGAGCCTAAGCCAGCTTGGTTTTTTGAGAGCTTATTAGGTGTGGAGTCCGCACATATGGATTTTGTTGTATTCGTTGTATCAATACAACCAATACAACCAATACAACAACAAAATCCATACATTCCAAACCTAATAATTTCCTTGATTTTCTTGGCACCCCCCAAATTATTGTGTGCTAAAAGATTTGCGGTGGTAGAATACTAATTTTAGGCCTCAGTGTTGCACTAAAATCTAGCACACACGCAAATAAATGAAAAGGGATAGGAGAAGATGTCAATATTTTTATGTGGAAAAACTCTTGAAAAGGAGAAGGACACGGGGCCTACTTCATTTAAAGTAATCCACAATGTAATTATAAGTACATAGCTCCACTCTTCACATGTAAGCTCATAGATGTACAATAGTAGTTTAGTTATAATTGTCATAAATGAGCTAGAACAAATGTAGCTCTTTACTTAAATAATAATAGATAGCCACCAATGCTATATGTGGTTACTACAAAGGTAATCTTTGGCCATAGTAGGTATAATCAGTGACTATAATAACATCAGTTGGCCATAAAAGTTGTAATTGGAAACTATAACAATTGTAGTTGGCTACAAAAGTCATAGTTGGTTGTTATAAATATAGTAGTTAGCCATAAAGGTTGTAGCTGGTAGTTGCAATAATGACGGTTGTGTGAAACCCTATAAGTAGGTTGGAGCCGAGCTCTTAAATATCGAAATGTCTTTTGGTTTAACGATTGGAATTTTATTTGAAACTCCAATTTAAGTGTGCTCTTGCTAGAGCATTCCTAGGACAGGTGACCTCTTGGGAAGTTACATCAACACGGAAAAACTGTGAGGCTATTACGCTAAAATGGACAATACCTTAATTGGTGAGAGTTTAGGTTGTCACAAATGCTATCAAAGCAATACGTTCAAGTGAGTCAGAGGTGTTGTGAGGTCAACTCAATTTGGTTCAATGGTGGCTCCTAGGTGGAAATCCAATGGGAAATTGAGGTTTGGGTAAGTTGGGATAGGTTGGGTCTAACCCCTTGGTCTAAGGGTTGGGTTTGGTTCCCTGATGGCGAGGGTGCTTACACTGACCCCAATGAAGGTTTGGGTGAGGTCAAGTTGCTGGCTTGGGCATGGGCCAAAAGTTTAAATGTTTCATGAAGAAGGAAAGTCCAAGTGAAGGAGGGAGAGGGGAGTGGTCACCTCCTCATACCATTTTTGGCAAAAATTGACTTTCGGATGCCCATGGAAGGCTCCATGACTCATTTCATGATATGCATGGGGTCATGGGAAGGTTTCATGCAAAAGGAAGTTTTAATTTTCATGAATTTTGGAAAATCATGCCATGATGCCTAAATTTGGATAAAATTTTATGTAAATGTATGGTATGTTCCATGTGATGCCATGATGGAATGATTTTGAATGCCATGATATGATGAAGGAAAGATTTATGTCAGGTGGGTTCAATTTGGGCTTTTAAATTAATCTTATGGGCTTTTGAAAAATGCTTATGGGTATGGGCCTTTTAAACTTGCACATGATGATTTTAAATTCAGAAATTGATCATGGGTTAATAAAATGGATTTAAAATTGGTTGAAATTGAATTTAGATATGCTTAATTTGATTTCAATTTGAAATTGGGGCATTTGATTGATTATGAAGATCAATTTAAGGAGTTTGGACTTTGGATCAATTTGAGGCAATTCACTTGAACTTGGATTTGAAGTTTGGAATGGGGTTTAATTGGGATTGAATTTAGTTTCAATTAGGTTAGGACATGATGAATTTGAGTTTAGAATTGAAATTGAGGAAATCTGAGATCAATTGGGGGCAAATTGGGGGTGATTTGGGGACTTTAGGGGCAATTTGAGAATTTTAGTCAAAGTGAGTCAATTTGGTCAAATTAGACCCAATGGATGGTCAAGAATTGGTTTTAGGGGTGTTTGAAATGATTTTGGAGGATTTGGGAACTTTTAGGCCACCAGGGGCATTTGGTAATCCTGACAAATTTGGGGGTATTTTGGTAAATGTGAAAATTTTGGAGTGTTTTGGATAATTTGGATGGTTTGAAATGATTTTTGAACATAATTGAGGGATTTGGACCAACCTTCGAAATTTTAGGGTGTCAGGGGAAATTTGGTAATTTTGCAAAACTTTAGGGCTAAAAGGCCAAAGTTTGAAATTGGGTAAGGTTGAGGTTTGATGCAAATGTTGATCATAGAATTACCCTCATGGTGCCATAAGACCAAAGAAACCCCACTTTGGATTCTCCATGTGCTGGTCTTATCCACTCTAGTTACGGACTAGGGGTTTGGGGGACCACCCACATGGGTCTCAAAAGAGGCAAGGGAACCAAACTAGACATGTGTAGGTTAGGGTTCAATGTTGCACGTGGAAGTGTGAAGTGCAAGTGTGTGTACTAGACCAAGCCATATCGCCCAGTATCACCCAGGGTCAACCCTAAGGTCAAACAATCATATGGGAACTCTCATTGAGCTCAGGAACCCTTCTTGAGCTCTCTCATATTGGTTTCACCTACTAAGTGCTAGGGTTAGAACCAACATGTGGAACTTTAAGATGAGCAAAGAAGAATTTTAGAATTTCTAATGGCGAGGGTTCGTCCTCTAATAATAGTAAATTGGAAAGTCATATGGCTAGATCTTAGTCTCCTAAGGAAAAAAGAGTAGATCTCAATAAAAAATGAGGTCAACGGCGATGCCTTAACGAGCATTTCTTGTCAGGCAGATCCTAGTGAGCAAAGAGAGTTAAAACATCGGGATTAACATGAGCATGACTGTGCTAAAGATCCAAGGGATATAACTAATGTCACCATGCACCTTACAGACACACATTTAATGACCCTTATTTTAAAATAAAAAATTATTTTTTTCTACTTACTGCATTCACCATAATTTTAAAATTATGCTTGTAACAATCTAGGTCGCACATGAGGACAACTTTATTCAAAACCCATCATGGGTGACGCCCTTTATATTCCTTAGATCTTTAGGATAAGGCTGGTGTGACAACCCTTTTAAAGCCATACTTTACTCGGAGACTTACCCTACACTTAGATGTTGGTTATGACACTTCTCGTTAGATGGTCTGCTAGGCTCGGATTTAGGATGCTACGTAGTTTTTTTTACGCTTCTGGATATTATTCTCTGTTGGTTTGTTTGTGCTAGCCAAACGTCACTTTTGTGCTTTCTGATGTGCTTGTGTCTCTGATATGCATCATAATATATTAGAGCATTCTTCTGCAGGGAGTCATGTTTATATACATACACACACATAGCTATCTGACAGTGACTTTATATATGCTTAAAAATACAAGAATTTGATACCGCTGCTAGAAGATTTAAATCCCCGACAACGGTGTCAAAAACTTGATGCAACTTTTAATATGCAAGAATTTATGAACCCATATTTATATATATTTATAATGATTTTGTAAAGTATATTTATAATGATTTTGTAAAGTCACAATTTCAAATGCAAGTATACGTATTGCTTAAGTAATACAGGACTCTAGTGGAGTCCCGTTTATCAATCCCACAGGGAAGCGAGGTAAGAGGTCTTTAGTTAAATTCTAATCTACTATAATTAGTCATTAGTTTGGAATGTCGATTAAAATGATGTTTTATCTAGTAACTACTCCTAAATGCAAGTGTTAAATGTAAAGATAGTAACTATAACTAAATGCAAATATTAATTCTAAAGATAAGCCTTTTTGGATGAATTGGTTTGGAAAATTTTGAGATATTAAAAACTACTATTATTATGTAATGAATTGGATAATGTAAAGTAATGAGATGCATTAAATATGGTATGTGCCAACTAGGAGCAATCCTATTCTTTACCTTTTAGTCAAGGCATAAAGAGCATTGACTAATCCTATGCTTGTTTACTGAATGTGTGGCTAGGCTGGGAGGATACCGACTCTCACTTCGGAATACTAACTTTCACTTTAGGGCTCCCACTTCCCTTCCCCTAAAGGTTAACTCTTGCTTTAGTTCTTAAACACTAAGACCAACTTAGGATTTTAGTCTATCACCATAAAATCTCTAATTCTACGCCTAACAAAACATATTTCCCTATCTATTTGCACTTGAGCCCATGAACTACATTCTCATTCATGAGATCAAATGTGATTCTTACTTTGTTGAAGAAAGCATAGCTCTCTTGGATCATTTGTTTCACAACAAAATTTAATAAATCTTGCCAAGATCAATAAGAAAATGAAGACCAAGGTTTAAATCATCACAATTATAAAATTAAAACTCTTTTAAATAATTTTAATTCTTCACAAGACTATATTTCATTGTAGGGAGAAGGACAAAGCAAACTACTCAAATTTTAAGAGGAAGATACAAAAAAACATGGATTTAAATAAAAAAGCAAGTTTGCACAATAAGAAATAGTAAAGTACAACAACTTATCTCAATCTATTCCCCAAGGAAATCATTTGAAGTTCCTTTCAATCACTTTCTCTCCTTATAATATTACTCAATTCCCTCTTAGAAATGTAATGAAGAAGAAATCTCTCACTTTTTCCCTCCTCTTACAACTCTTAGAGAAAATCGTCTTTAATCCTCTGTAACACTCTCACACCACTTAATTCCCATTAATACACACTAATGCACACTCCTTTTTCTATCAAAAAATCACTCTTATATAATGTAGGGTCGAACTCCCAAGAGTCTCCTTTGGTACCTGATCACGACTTTCTTTATACATGTAAAATGTGATAGGCTCGAGAGCGCCGTCGGCCGTCGGCGAGCTTTTCTGTCATTTTTTGGTCTTCTCGGGTAAATCTCGCCGTCGGCGTCGTTTTGGCGCCGTTGGCTAGCAGACTGCGCAGCTCCACCGTTTCGCTTCGTTTGGCTCCGTTTTAGCTCTGTTTCGCCCCATTTCAGTTGCGTTGTGTTCCTAACATATAGCCCTACAATAACCCTAAAAAATAAGTATGAAAACAATCTTTCTTTAAAATGTAATCTCATTTAAAAAT